CTTGCTTCCATCTTTTCCTTCCTTTTATAATTGCACTGTTAAGGGTGTAGTCAACTAGGCACAGGCCATGTCACTGCTCCGGATCTCTGTTGTTATGGCAGGGCTATGTTTCTTTCATATCCAGATATAGTTCCCTGAGGAATGCTTCTAAGAACCATGGAATAGGTCAGTGATAAAGTTGACTCTAAGGAAACACTCATCAAGAATCTTGCCCTGTTCCAGTTTTGACTGGGAAATAGGCTTAGTCATATTGTCCACGCTCTGCAAGTTGGGCTGTGATGAATCCAACACACCATATTTGAGCAATGGAAATGTAGGATGAAGAATGCAGTCTCATCAAAAATCTCTACAATTTTTAAAAAATAAGTCCCCACAGAGAATTGTAATCTAAACCTTCAATCCTCCTGTCTTCTTTGTTGGCTCCACCTCAGCCAGAAAAAACAAACAAACAAACAAACAACAACAAAAAAAACAGAATCCTCCCTACCCAGTACCCGTAAGCATTGAGTAGTCTGTGGTCCTTCAACTGTCACTAGGTCTGAGCAGCTGGCCCTGGTACTGGCTAACTTCTCCCCTCTGCTAAGCCTTGATGAACCAAGCGGTACTCTTGTGAGATGCACCTTAGTCAGCTTTCCATCACTGTGAAAAAATGCCTGATAGAATAAACTTATAAGAAGGAAAGGTTTACTTTGGCTCATGGGTTCAGAATTTTCAGTTCATGGTCACTTGGTTCTATTGCCTTGGACCTGTGGTGGCATGGTATGTCATGAAGGGAGCACATGGTGGAGGCCCATTCACCTCAGGATGGCTAGAAAAAAGAGGGGAGAGAACAGGGGGGTGGGGAGGGAAGGAGGGAGCCTTCTCTGAGGTCTAAATATCCTCTTCAAGGTCACATCCCTAATTTTCTCCCACTGGGCCCCACCTCCTAAATGTTCCACAACCTCCAAATAACACTGTAAGCTGGGGACTAAGCCTTTAACACATGGGACTTTGAGGGACATGCAAGACCTAAACTATATAGCAGCACATGTCTTTAAGCAACAAAGAAACAGAAGGGCATATAAGAATATTCCAGCTCCAACATACACATACACACACATATGAGAGGGAAAGAACAGAAAACTTTCCTAGAGGATTCTCAGTTGCAAAGCAGCTTCTTACCAAAGCACCTGCCATCATCTCAAGCAGAGGTGATACTCCAGGAAGGGAACTGCGCAGGCAAGACCCACCTACTGGGTTCACCTGAAGAAACTTCAAACCTCACTGAGGATGTAGCTCAGTTGGTAGACTGCTTGCCTAGTGTGTGTGAGGCTCTGGTTTTAATCCATAGCACTACAAAAAACAATAGGTGAATGCTTTTTCAAAGAAACTTTACACCCTTGCAAACATGGGGAAGTAGAGTACACAGAGGGAGGGAATAAAGAAAAGTCAAAATCTACCTTTTTATTGAAAAATAATAATTACATATAGTTATGGGGCATAATGTGATATTTTTATATATATATATATATTTTACAATGATCAAATCAGGCTAATTAACATACCTATCACCTCACATTTTTTTTTTTGTAGTGAGAACTTATTTTTTTCCAGTTGTAGATGGACACAACACCTTTATTTTATTCGGTTTTTAATTTTTTTATGTGGTGCTGGGGATCAAACTCAGTGCCTCATGCATGCTAGGCAAGCACTCTACCACTGAGCCATAACCCTGGCCCCAGCAATTTTAAAATACTATATTCAATATGTAATTATTAACTGTAGTTACACAACAGATTTCAAAAAGGATCAGAGAGATGGTGTGATCAACAGACACAAAGTTAGAAATAAGTTCAGGAGATATAATATACTGTTCAATGTGATGGCTACATTTAATGTATTATATACTTGAAAATAATGAAGAGCAGATTTTAAGTGTTCTGAACACACACACACAACAAAAAAAAACTAAAGAAAATGGTGGATTTTAGATGTTAATTGGTTGAATTTGGCTATTACACAATTTTAAAACATCATGCTGTAACTATATATATATATATATATATACACACACACACACACACCCCATATATATATATATATATATTTATATATTACTTTATTAAAAAAAATAACCTTAAGCCAGACAAAGTGGTACACACCTGTAATCCCAGTGGCTTGGGAGGTTGAGGCAGGAGGATAATAAATTCAAAATCAGCCTCAGCAATTTAGTGAGACCCTAAGCAACTAAAAATAAAAAGGCTGAGGATATAGCTCTGTGCTTAATACCCCTGAGTTCAATTCCCAGTACCAAATAAATAAATACAATTTAAAAATAAAAATAAACTGGGTGTGGTGGTGCATGCCTGTAATCCCAGCAGTTTGGGAGCCTGAGGCAGGAGGATCGTGAGTTCAAAGCCAACCTCAACACTTAGCAAGGCCTAAGCAAATTAGACCATCTCAAAATATAAAAAGGGATAGGGATGTATCTTAGTAGTTAAGCACCCCTGGGTTCAATCCCTAGCACCAAACAACAAACTACATTCTTCCAGTGTAATTGAAATATTATACCCCATGACCAACATCTCCAATTCCCACCACCTGCCCCCGGTCCCTGGAAACCACCATTCAACTCTCCATTTCTATGAGTTCACCTTTTTTAGATTCTTCATATAGAACAGTCATCCCTCAGTATGCATGGGGGATTCTCTTCAGATACCCAAATCTGTGAATGTTCAAGTTCCCTCTATAAAACACTGTAGTATTTGCATATAACCTCCACACTTCCTCCCATATACTTTAAATCACCTCTAGATGACATGATCCCTAATGCAAAGCAAATGCTATGGAAGCAGTTGTTATAATATATTGTTATACCATGAAACATCAGTACACATTTGCTGCAGACGCACTGTTTTCTCCATATTTTTGATTTGTAGTTGGTTGAATCCATGAATACAGAACCTGCAGATGTAGGTGGCTGTAATTTGTCTTTCACTACATCTCATTGGTTTCAAACTGGGAGAAATCTGTCAGGTATGTCTGCTTTTATTCTCCACCTTTTGTTGTTCATTCACTTGGAAACCAGGCTCCACTCTGGAAAGCCCACAAGCTTCCACATGGTCGTCATGGAGAAGCATCCTTGGTATTGCTCTCTTTCCAGAGCCCTCTGCTTGTGGGCAAGGCACTTACCCTGACCAGTGGAAGGTGGTACAGCAGTCTACCCATATCTGAGGAATACATTCCAAGAATTCCAGGGAATACATGAAACCTCAAATAATGCCAAACTGTTTCCCCCAATATGTCCTACATGGTTGCCACAGAGTGCCAGAGTTATCTTCCATGTTTTAGGCCCTGGTGCCTCCTTTTCATTACCAGTCTTGTGGTTTGGGACCATTCTTAAGTAAAACACATGTTATTTGAATACAAGCACTGCAATACTGAAAGTCAATCACACAGCTATGTTACTGACAGGTGGGTAGCTCATACAATGTGAATGCACTAAACAAATGGATGATTTACAACCTGGGTAGGATGGAGTGGAAAGGCACCACATTTTATCACATTACTGAGACTGGCATGCAATTTAAAAATTATGATTTATTTCTGATATTTTCCATTTATTATTGTTTAAATCAAAGTTGACCACATAGAGCAAAGCCATGGATAAGGTGGGACTATGGTAATTAGATCAGTAGGTCTTGGCTTTTCAGGAGGGTAGGTGGCCCATGAGTAGCAAATGCCCCCTTGAGAAAACAAGGCTCAGGCCCTCTGGGTGTGGCCACAGAGACCACTATGTTCATAGTAACAAAGGTGGCTTTTCTCTTATCTCATAAGCAATATTCATTCCAGAAAACCCCTTGCAAGGTGATGAATAATCACTACCTTTTAAAATGTATTTTCCTTTGGAATTATTTCCCCAATGACCAACAAAATATATACATCAAAGTCCTAGCTTATAATGCAAAGTTTCCCAGACCAAATAGTCGATTAAAAGTGTAAGAAACAGCAGAGAGAGTGCACACACTAGTCAGCTATTAAGAAACCACAGGCTGTCTGCAGGCGAGATTTGACCAGTGTGGGACTTATTACCATGGCAGCACAGGGGTGGCTGGCAAGCTATCCCTGCCACAAAAGTCAAGGCATGCTTCTGTGTCATGGTAGGGGTATTCTAAGATACTCCCCCAAAGTTAGCTCCTCCCATTGATGAGCCTGTTTCAGGGGTATCAATGTTTTCCCTCCACCTGTCATTTCTGCAGGTGACAGATGATTAAGGAATATTTCAGAGGAATCTACAGGCTTCAAAGCTGACTTCAAAAACAGAAAAATGTCCCAGGTCCTTCTGTTTGCATCAGTGACTATGGCCCAACCAAAGAGGTGGCCAGGAGTAAGGCCTGATCACCTGGGGAGGCTACATGAACTTTCCTCTTCCCTGACTCTACTATCCTGGCTTCCCCAGGACTGGAAGGAACCATGAGGAGCCCCAGTGCATAACATTTCCATGGTATGGGATCAGGGACCCATACCATGTCACTTAACTGAAGCAAGATTTGGGTCACAGATCAGCTGTTTCACAGTGTGCTCTGCAAGCTCCCAACCTACGCACACCCAGCCTCTTGCCTGTGTGGGAAGTCTCTTCTCCACCTGGGCCTGTGCCCTAGTGCTTATACTGTGGTGAGGGCAAGGTGGGGTCAGACCACAAAGTAAGGGTGCCAGCCTGGGTGGGCCTTGTGGAAACAAAACACACAGCCTCAGTTCTTGTTCTCAGCCCAGCACTGTGGCCTAGGAGACCATGCCAAGAGGAAATTCCTAAGACATAAAATGGAGTCAGGCATTGAGGGGGCATGATATTCTCAGGACCCATCAGCCAGAGCAGGAAGTTGGCTGCACCTCTGCCTATTAGCTGAGCAAACAATGCATCTCAAGAAGTTGGGGTGAGGCCCCAGCACTGGGTATATGAAGCCCTCAGGGCCTGGCTCTTGTTTAAGGTCCCGAGGGCATCCAATAAGTCCTCCTCTGCCATGAAGCTCATCATCACCTTCCTGGTGTTCTACCTGTCCCTGCTCAACTATGGTGAGTGGCCTTGGGGCCTTGGCATAGGATGGACCTGCCACAGACGTCTGCTCTTCCCTGGCCCCTACTCCAGACAGTCCTGACGCTGCTGCCTCTGTAGTGCACAAGGCTACTCATATTGGTCCTTTCTGCTTTGTCTCTGGTGCTCTGGCTGTTCCTTCCAGGGTTTCCTGTCTTTTTCCTTCCTGTGGCCTTAGAAACCTTCCAGGGTCAGCCATGCCTGAGAGACCCCTTAGGCTTTCTCTCACCACACTGCCTGCCTAGGTTACTCATTTCACCCACCAACACCAGGCTTTCTCCAGTCTTGGACTAGTCCAAGTGTCAGCCCTGATTTAGGAACAACCATCTGTTCTCTGTCTGGTGAATGCCCCCTCAACCTCCAAAGCACAGTAAGAATGTACTCTCCCCTGGAAAGCCTGCCCTCTAGCCTATGCAGAGATCACTTCTTTCTCCACCTCCAGACCACTTCCCATAGATCTCTTTGCAGCCATCTCCTATTTACGTGGCCACTTCTCCCTATTTCTGCCCGTCTCGCAGACTTGGCACAAGGCAACCATCTGTGAGGAAATAGGGAGATGGTCTGGGCAAGCTTTGAAACTTCCCTTTGAAAGTGTCCTCTCAAAGAAACAGGTCCTCAGCTAGGCCTCTCGGAATCCACTGTGTACAGGTGTGAGTTCTTCCTATGTGTTGACAGGTGACGGTTTCTTCATGGACTCAGTGGTTAAGCCTGTAGCCCAACCTGTAGCTGCTGTAGCTCCTGCTGTGGAAACTGTGGCTGGGGCTGTGCCCAAACTCCCTTTCACCTACTTCAACCCCCTGAAGATCATGCTGGCCAGCCTGGGCATCCCAGTGGAGAACCTCATTGAGGGTTCCAGGAAGTGTGTCACTGAGCTGGGCCCCGAGGCCGTGGGGGCTGTGAAGACACTGCTGGTAACAAAGGCAACCTAGGAACCCCTTCCTGTGTTGCTGTCCCTCCCTGGTTTCTCAAAATTGTTTTAAGAGGCATCCAGTTCTGTTAGGGAGACCGTGCTTCTTGTCCTGCTCCAACAAGCCATACTCCTGGAGTGCTGTGACCTTGGGTATGAATCAGGTTGACCATGTGAGCTATGGGGGCTGCAAAGGGCCCAAGTGGGGCACAGTAAGGACACATCTCACAAGGAGGCTGCCAGTGGGCTGTGGCATTTGTCCTGGTGCTCATTCCCCATTTACCATCTAAGAACCCTCCCTGGGGCCAGCAGCTGTGCATGCCTTCCTGACTTGAGTAGCCTCAGATGCCCAGGGCCTCATGTCAGCTCTCCCTGGTAGCAGTGAAGCGGAAGGGGCACACTCAAACTTGTTTTCTCTTTTCCAGGGGGCACTGACATTCTTTGGTTGAGCCAAGGCAGGATTAACTCTACCTGAGGACAAGAAGCTACCCACTGGCAAGGGCTAGAAATCCAGCCGCTGGTCCTGAAAACGGCCACATCCTTTATCTTCCTTAATAAACCTGGCTAAGAGCAGTTTTGCAGTTGTTTTTTTCCTTCTGAAAGTTAATCCCCATAGGGGACCAAGAACACCTAATACTCCAGATTAGGTAGGTAGGTAGGGTGTTTGTGAGAAGGAAGGAGGGAGGGAAAGAGAAGCTGGGGAGAAGATGAGGGAGAGAGAAAGAAAGGGGAAGAAAGCCAGCCAGAAATTAAAGGTGACTGGAATTCAGTTAAATTGGGCGTGGAAACTGGGAAATTTTTCTTTAAACATTTTGCAAAATTGACATTATAACCATGTAAATATTCTACATTGCTACAAAAGACCAAAATGTTTTAAAAGGCAACCTCTAAAGTTGAAATAAAAACAAGAAACTTAAGTTTCTTTTAGTGGCAGAAGCACTATAGAGCATCTATTTCAAGTAATGTGAAAATACAGTACTATACATCATGGGGGATGCTATCCCAGCCCCATTCTTTACGTGTTGTTATGAATCATACACTATGTGAATGCCATTGAAACCTGAGATTTCTGGAACAGCTAAAAGGAGATACTAATTTATATCATTAAGGTTAAGTAAAAACGTTAAGAGACGAGTGCTCCATGTCTGGAGATGTTACAGATATGAAGAAAAGAGGCTGGGCTCAACAGCATGGTTTCCAAGAAAGCAGCAGACTTTTAAACAATGCTATCTGCAGAAAGCTCAATATGATCCCACATAGACTAGAGTATCTTCAAGGACAAATCCCTTCAGATTCCCAGAAAAAAAAAAAAAAAAAAGTCTATTCTTTCTGTAGTCAAATGAATCTTTCAGAGGTTTCCCAAACCACTGTTTATCAGCCAATCGAGAGAGCTAAATCTGAAACCATGGTATAAACTTCTATTTTTGTCAGCCCTTAACATCTACCTCTGAATTTCATGCATTTCTACTTCACAGGGTAATTATTTTATATGTACTGGCAGCAACATACAACAAATATTTAGTGTTAAAAAAAAAAAGTAGGGCTCGAACTGACCCATTTTATCTTGGGGGACAGGTTCTCATCTCTGTTCCCTAAAGACCCTAGAAATTGACTCATTAGTAGAAGACAGAATTCTTGCATCTAGATTTTGGTCTCTAGATATTACTTCCCACTTTAGGAACCAGGAATCGTTGGATCAATGGCTGATTCCAGGTCTGGAGCAAGAAACAAAAAAGAATTTCTCATAAGAGGAGGCTGCTACCAAGATTATCAGAATTTACCCAAAAGACACAAGAAGCCAATCTGAATAAAGCTCCCATCAGCTGAAGATGAGTTAATTTAGAACACTAGTAATGGTAATGGCTGCACCAGACAAAATTCATCCAGTGTTATAAATGCACATATATTTGATAGAGGGGAGAACCTGCTTATTTCGTTAACTTTGGAGGACACAGGGAAACCAATTCATTACTTTGAAAACTGATAATCTGTGCAACAGATCACCAACATTTGATTTTTTTGTTTCACAAAATATAAACAAAGGAATGATAAAAATAGGCAGTCACTTTTAAACCTGTAGTAAATCAATGGATATAGGGATGTTGATAAGGTTGCTAATACCACAGAAAGATAATACACACAACATACACCTAATAAAAGTATATAATACCTTTGAAGCAGTTAGTCTTAGATCTGTCTGGTTTTGATATCAGTGTAGTGATACTGGACTCAGGATGGGTTGTTTTCCTTCTCTATTTTTAAGAATTTAAAATTGATATCTAATGTTAGTAGTAATGTCCTCCCCTTCATGTGTGCAGTTGTGGTATTTTTCCTGTTCAACTTAAAGGCTCACAAATTTTGCTGATCTTTCCCAAAAAACCTAACTTTTAGATTTTGATTTTTCCATGTTATTCTTTTTTATTCTATGAATCTCTGCTCTAATCCTTAATCCTTGTTATTTCCTTCTTAACACTTGCTTGCTTTAGATTTGGTTGGCTGTTTGTCTTACGATGAAATGTTCTTTGAATTCTGTCTTTAACATAAGTCTTTACAACTATAATTTTCCCTTTAAGCATCATTTTGATGCATACCATGTTTTAGTATGTTATCTTTTCACTTATTTCAGAGAATGCTCCAATTTCCTTTTTCTTTGACCCACTGTTTATTTAGGAATGCTTTACCTTCCCTATAATTCTGAAGTTCCCAACTTTGTATCTAACTTTGTCTCAATGACTGGAGAGTATACTCTGTATAATTTCAATCTTCAATTTAGGTCTGAATTAGGATATATATAGTATAGCAACCCCAGCTGTCTCCATAAAATACTCAGATAAATAAATATCATATAATGTTACTGATCATCAGTAAATGTTGGTTACAATCAAATCCATTCTTTGACATCAACTGGCTATTAGTTTATGTATAATATGAACAAGTAATGAAACGATTATCTTATACGATATAACAGGTAAAAATGGTCCTATAATCAAGTTTCATTTAACAAAGAAATATTTTACTGTGCCAGTCACACTACTCATACATAGTTCAAGTGTTCAAAAGTCTCTCACGGTTCAAGTCTGCTAACGAACAGAGTTAATCCTTCACACAAGAAAAAAAAAATGTGTTTAGAATTCTTGGATCCCTTTGATCTGTTAAGTATTGCTCTATTTATATACCTTCTAATGCTTAGTCTTACCAGTAACCTCTTTGGAAGGCAGTTTATACCTAAAATCATTTTCAGTAATATAAAAAGCCTTAAAAAACAAGCTTTTAAAAACAATTTACTTTCTGTAATTAGTTATTTAGTAAGGGCTAAATCTGAATTTAATTCAGACTAAAATCTGAATTAAAAGTAACATGAAATGGTGTTAACAAATGAAAAAAAATCTTTTGACTAAATACCTTTGTCAAATCAATAAACGAAAGTGGAGGGCCAAGACACAGCACACACTGAATCAGGGTCTACTCTAATGAAAACAATGAGTCTTAGATAAAACTCACTTACTGTCTCTTCACCCACCTGCAAGGTAGAAATTGAGGTTCTCATTAATTCTATTTCAAATTCCCCTTCTTTCTATTCTTCTCTGCAAGCCCTCATCAGTTTAAAATATGTCAACTGAACCACACCAGAAGCCAGCTTAGTCTGACACCAATTAGTCTTATTTTTTTCAATCCATTCAACACAGTATTACTTGGTGGTATCTTCCTAAAACAAAAATCTAGCAATGCTACTCCCATTTAAAACCTGTGTGTAGGGCTGGGGATGTGGCTCAAGTGGTAGCGCGCTCGCCTGGCATGCGTGTGGCCCGGGTTCGATCCTCAGCACCACATACAAACAAAGATGTTGTGTCCACCAAAAACTAAAAAATAAATATTAAAAAATTCTCTCTCTTAAAAACAAAAACAAAAAACCTGTGTGGCTCTTTACATCACCTACTGGATGAAGTTCAAACTTTTGACATGTTGGTCATGTTCTAAAGGCACCTCCGACTTTACTCATCATGTTCCAGTCCAGTCACTTCACTGGTGTACTCTGTACCCATTGGCACACATTATGTTCAAAATCCATTGCATTTATAGTTAAAGATATTCCAAAAGGCCTTTATTAAGAGTTCCCATTATTCATCCTAGAAAGAAGTTCTTGGTCCTTCAAAATACAGCTCAGAGATTACCTCTGAGAGATTTTTTAGGCTTATGTAGATTGTTGCTCCCTACATAAATGGTGTATCTTTAGCACTTATTACATTAGATTATAATGATCAACTAGGCACAAAGATTGTACCTGTAAACATCTACTTCCAAACTAAGCATAACATCTACAATTCCAAATGTTATGTAATTCTCAATTACAATTGAGTCTTGCATCAGTATACGACCAACCAAAGTGGTTTGACATTAACCATCATGATTCACCAATGGATCAATGATATGTAGTCCTTTCACCCACTGAATCTGTACCCAGCAGCTTAGATTCACTTTGCTAATGAAGCTGGAAAGTACCGGACAATAAGAGTTCTTGAAGCCCATATCTGGTCACATTCAGAGAGTAAGCAAAAGTTTCTTGAGTTAGATCCAAAATAATTTAATAGCATTTGGACAGACTAGAGAGATTGGAAGTTTGCAGCTAAAACAAAACAAAACAAAATATCTTATTTATGTGGAAATGTTACATATGCTAAGGGAACCACAGAAACTGGTTTTTAATCTACCCTATAATCCAGCACTTTTCTAAATTCTTAGCTATAGACTGGCTAGACTCTAAACTTAAAGAACTTAATAATATTCTGACTTATGGCTATTATACAGGGCAAATTTACTTATAAAATATTCTTCAAATCATCCTGAATTCTACCAAAAGTCATTTTTTACTAAATTTTTGCAAAGTATCCTGTTATGATAAAATTATCTTTGCAATATTTGTGAAAACTTATTTTAAAATTGACCGAAATTCGAAATAAGTAAATATTAGCCAAAAAGAAATCTTTGTATATACAAGGTCACACTGTTACCCAAAACCTGATG